AAGGCTCGGAAACAGGGCCACGTGCAGCTCCATGTGAAGGTGCAGACCCAAGTGCTCTCAGGAATCTGCTAGTATGGGTCCAGAGTCGAAATTTTAAAGAACTGGGAGCATATCTGGTTGGAGGGGCACAGGAGTCAAGTGCTGGTGAGAACCAAACACAGCCAAGGGCCAAGTCATGAAACAGGGACAGCCCAGGCAGATGTGCATGCAGCAAGTGTGAACACACAGTTCACTCTGGAAGGAAAGATACAGGGAGAGGAAGAAGAATTCCCTCCCTGCTCTGTTTGTGCCTCCCATTCCGCCTGCCGACAGAATGGTGTAGGCCAGGTTGAACGCAGGGCTTCTTCTCAGTCCACTGACTCACACAATAATCTTGTCTGGCAATACTCTCAGAGACACACACTGGAACAATGCTTCAGCAGCCACCCGGTTATCCCTCAATCCAGTCAAACTGACACACAAAACTAACGATTATACCTCCTCCCAAGAGTTTGTTTTTGTCTGTCTTTATTTTTTATTTATTTATATTTTTTTGGAGAGGTTTTTTGCTATAGGGCACGTGCGCTCGCCAGACAGACAGAGAGAGACATAGAGACAGAAAGCGAGAAATCACGCCCTCGCCCCCCCAGGGGGGATGGCCACACCACAATCCCTTCTCCTCCATTCTCCTCTCGGGATCTTGGGCACGCACGCACAGGCGCCCGGCATGAGTTTTAAGCCACTGGGTCTGGGATGCGAACCGAGGTCGACTACGTGGGAGTCCAGCGACATAGCCATTACACTAACTGCTGCTTCCCTTGTCTGTCTTCATTATTGTTCATTTGCTAAGTGACTATCCAAACTAATGTAATACAATTTGTATTGCTTGTTGTAGGTCGCCTCTGAAGTTTCTGCTGAATGAACTTAGTTGTCAGCTAATGATTGGATAAAGATTTTCCTGAAGTCTCATAATCAATATGTCTCCCAGACTTTGAAGATGGGTTTTGTGTGTGTTGGGACATGCCTTTAACACTTAACCAAGCAACTGACAATTCTGCCTTATCCTACATTTACTCCTTTCCTAGCCTCAAGGTTAGCCAGAGGCAAAAGCTTAGGGTTTTCTCAAGTCTTTCATAGGCATACACATAGCCAGAGGTATGGACACAGCTAAACCTGCATGTGACCCTGTAGATTCTCAGGCATACGCGGAGCTTCTGTGGTAGACAGTTAGTTAGTCATGAATGGCAGCCCTAAGAGAAAAGCAAAAGGATCAAAAAGACCCAAGCAAGCATTTTGTTCAACACCCTAATCCCCAAGTAAGCGTTTTGGTTAATGCCCTAATTTCCACTAGGTCAACGCCCTAATTCCCAGTAGGGTGATAAACTAATTAGGCAGTCTAATTAAATAACCTGGCTCACACTGTGCATGCGCAGTTAGTTAATCAAATTCCTGAGGTAAACAGTGAGAAAAATATGTAAGCACAGGAGAAAATGTCTGGATTCGAATTCAAACGAAGGACATAAGTAGTGTAACAGACCTCCCACCAATAAATATTCATGATCACCTCTAGTAATAAAAATAACAGTTAACCAGTACCAAACGCAGTTGCTACCTGGCATCCTGCCTGCCCAAGAGCCTTTTGGGTGTACTTCTTTTCTTCATACTAAATCTTGTTTTCTACCTACTTCATTCGTGGTTGTGGTTTCATTTTGTGCCTAGGGATAGATTTCTAATTTTAGTGATGTGGACTCAAAGAATCAAGGACCTCACAACACAGCTCAACACTCTCCCATCCGTTGACACTTTTAAATCCCCTGTGAAGAACTCATTCCCTAGCTTCTTTTAAATTTTTTAAGTTAGCCTGTTGCTCTTATCAACTGTTACCCAGGCAGCCACAACATTAGATAATCGACTCGAATTGGTTTTAACAATTGTTCTGAGGGTATTTCCCACTCTGAGACTGGTCAAATGAAGACAGTCTTGTAAGTGGGGTCTTTCAGGGAAGCATCAGACAGGTCAAATAATGACAATTCTCTGGGAATGAGACATTGAAGGAGTTCTACCCTGTTCTGTCTCCTCTGAAGGCTGCCAGGCTATGGCTACTATTTTGCACTGATATTGTAAGCTATTGGTTTTCCAGACTCCTGCAAAACTGAGGTGGGAGAGATGAGAATAGATCAAATTAAAACACTACAAAGCTTGCTATTCTTACTGAGATTTTTTTTTTCTTAAATAGATGTTTCTCAAATTGCTGTAAGCCTTTGGTTATAGATTTCTGAAAAAAAATTATTTTGAAATTTTAGTCAGTTTTCTTGTTCCTTTTATGGAGAAGAAAGATTTTTGAAGACCCTTACTCCTCCAGTTTTGCTGATGTCATTCTTTTATTTTATTATATATATATATATTTTTTCAGGGGGGATGGTCACGCCGCAATCCCTTCTCCTCCATTCTCCTCTCGGGATCTTGGGCACGCACGCACACGTGCCCGGTGTGAGTTCTAAGCCACCGGGTCCGGGATGCGAACCGCGGTCGACTACGTGGGAATCCAGCGACATAGCCATTACGCTAACTGCTGGTTCCCTCATATCTTGATATATCTATCTATCCTGTTAATGGTAATTCAGTATACTGTAAAGTATTATCTATATAAGCATATATTATGAGGCTAGCTTATAGTTAAGGTTATCTTATTACTTATTACCTCTTTAGATATTTCCATAAGTAAACCTTTATTTAGAATGCAAACTAAGCTATCTTATGTTTACTTATTGTTCCATCCACCCAGTAACCCCATCAGCCAGCCAACAAGACACCAAGCAACATCCATTCAGCATCTACCATGTTCAGGTTGATATAGTATAATTATAGACACCGCTGGTTAAAAAATATTTAAAAAGTAAGGAATTCTGATTTTTCTTGAAAGAAGAACCAAATATTTGAAATTCTAGCTCAAGTACCTTAAAAGAATCTAATGTCACTTTGAGAACAGGAATTTGAGAACTGAACTTTAAAAGTATGTAAAGTGGAAATAGAAAATATTTCTAAATATTATGTCCTAGGAGGAAGATTAGAAAATATAGGTCCTTGGGTTTATGAGTTCAAAGTGAAACCTGTCTATTAATGAATAAAACATTTTTTGGAATAAATATTATAAAACCTTTTTATTGTTCATTTACTAATGAGATACCAAGGAAATGGGATTTTACATTGAACCTTTTTCTGAAGTCTAAGTAATTCATGTTCATTGAATTAGATTTCCCCCTCCATTTTCTTTCTACAGAAAAGTAATAAAAATGAATAATGAATTATAATGTAATCCCTCCTCAAACTCCAAATTGATAGCAGTCATGCTAATAATAGTCAATTTTATATCAAAGAAGAAAGCTTAAGATAATTGAAATGGAAATGAGTGTTTAAAATGTAGAAACCTTCTATGCATTCTATTTTCATACATTTTAGGCAAATTATTTTATCGTAGTGGGTATGTTTGTTTGTGCTCTTTGGAGGGTACCTCGCTATTTCTTTTGAATGTCTATTTTTCCTTTAATATAATTAAAGAGTTCATTTCAACCTATTTAATGAAAAAATACAATAGTTAAGTGTGACCGGTGACACTTTTTCTTCTCTTTGTCTACCTCTTTTTCTCTCTTGCCTTCAATGAACCTTTGTTTAATATATTATTATTTAATATTTTAAAAATTCAACTTTAATATATAAGCAGGAGATTTTGTTACAGAGACAATACATAGTTTCTCTGCTTACTTGGTACAGTCAGACTCTTTTTTTTTTTCAGGTATTAAATGTTACATTGAGAGAGAAAGACAGATGACAACTTGGCTTACATACGTAAATAACTGCAAAAATATGCCAGATTGTTGGTTTTGCATTCTAATCTATAGTTACATGGGGTAGAAAAATCAAATATCCTCCTTGTGTGTATGTATGGGACCATAATAAATTCATGTAATAGCAAGGAATTAGGTGTGGTTTAAGATCACTGAAATGGAAGAAGAGAGAGATGAGGCTTTTTATGTGACTAAAGGAGGAGGTCAGATTTTTATTCTTCAAAAGAAAAAGAGCCATTGGTAGATTTGAGCAGTGACGAGCCATGGTCATTGGTGGAGAAATATCATTCTTGGAGCTCTGAGAAGAGGGATTTGGACAGGCAAGACCTGTTTCTACAAACAGGAAGATTAAGGAAGACTCCCTTAATCTTGTGTTGGACTTTCAGGGAAGTTGACCTCAGAGTCTTTTAAAAACCATTCCATCCAATCTCCCAAATTACAATGATTCTAATGAGAATCTAGAGAATATTCTATATCATGTTACCTTACTCAGGTTGGACTTTGAAAAATAAAATATTCTAATGTTGTACATTGCTCATAAAAACAAGTATATACTGCTCTCTGAAAACTGTAGGCCAGTCCACAGAAATTAAAGAATTTCCATTTCTAGTGCATTTGTATTAACTTTTCTGCATTTAAAATAGTTCATAGGAAGGGTACAATTTAATTTATCTTTTGTATACATAATATAAAAAAGAACTGTCTATATCTCACATAGCTTGTTCATTTCATCTTTATGAAATTTTCTTGGGCAGGCATTATTGTTCTCATTGTAATATTAAAGAAGCTGATGCCCAAATTAAGCAGCTTGACTTTCACTACAGAAATAGCAGAGTTGGAATTTGAACTCATGTCTCTCTAACTCCAAAGTCCTCTCTTTCCAATATTCCACTCTCCCTCCTTGATAGAATGTGTCTTATGGTCATGTCATATTTCCTCTGTACACCACTTTTCTGAACATTTTCTTCATGTTTTGGGAAGGCATTGGGTGAATTTAAAGTCTGCATATATGTTAGGATAACTCAGCTTATTTAATTGTTTAAGTCACGTAGCCCCTTGTTTTCTCCACAATAACAAGATAAAGAAGAGCCAGAGGAGTTCTGCTTTCCAGTGACTGACATCACCCTGCAGACAATTGGCAGCCAGGAGAGGGGCAGCTGCCACACTCTTCAGACATCTATTTAAAGTTCAAAGAGAAGCTGGATAACAATAAGGAAGAGGTAAGCGTGGCCCTGATCAAGCTACCAAACAGGAATAATGGCTGAAAAAGGTAAGATTTTAGCCATGAGACTTTCTTAGCAAAAGTGCTTCCAGATTTGGGGTTCTTTTGTATTTGTTAGTGTTTCCCAGACATTTTAAAGAATGAGATATCTATTCTAACAGATCATTAATGATATAGATTGGTGTGGTTGCAAAAAAATGCATTAGATCTGCCTGTTATGAATCATGCCTATAGGGAATGTATGATTTTGAAAGGATCAAATAAAAAGCTTAGTTGTGATCATACTTATTTTGAAAGGTGAGTTAGAAATTAACTATCTCCAGTGTCATACTAGATTTGAGGTATTTGGGTACGCTGGACCAGCATTAGGGTCTGTTGAGTTCTGTCTCAGATCGGCTGTTATGAAGCTGTGTGAGTTTGAAGAAGTCCCTGTACTTCTCTAAGCTCGTTTTCTGACTGTAACATGAGAATTTTTAGCTCAGCTATGCTCCACATCTAAATGCATTTGTTTGTCTCTGGGTTTTAAACACTTTAAAATGCTATATTATATAAAATCAGTGACTTTCATCTGACAAAATAGACTGAATATATGCTATGTCTAAGACTTTTTAAAAATTAAATTTAAACTTTTTAGTTTTTGCTATAGGGCCCATGCACTTGGCTGGAAAGACAGAGAGGGAAAGTGAGACATCATCTCTTAGGGGGGATGAGTACCTCAATTCTTTCTCCTCCATTATCCTCTCAGGATTTTGGGCACCTATGCACACGTGCCTGGTATGATTTTCAAACTGCCAGGTCAGGGATTCGAACCATGGAGTCAGCTATGTGAAACCTTAACCTCCAGGTCACCTGCTAGCCCAGAAATAGTTTTTACATAACTACAAATTTTTATTTTTAATCTTGACAAAAACCTTGTAAGGTAAGCATGTTATCATCATCATCACCCCCACTTTATAGATAAGGAGATTGAGGCATGGTGAAGTTTACTAACTTGTCCATAATCATCAGAGAGAAGCAGCACCAGGTCTTGAACCCATACAGTCTCGTTGCAGAGAACAACGACCTTACAAATACTTCCAGCTATACCTACTCTGATATGCTCTGAGGTTTGGAATTATTGTATTTAATGAGAGATTGTGTTCTCATTTGTGATACTAGTTAATATAAATACCTGGGCAAAGTGTGTCGAGTCCTTTCATCTTCTTATTTCCAAACAGTGCTATAGATTGTGGTAAAACTGAAAAGATGAGTGTTAAAAGAACACAACGCACTCTGAGTGTTAAAATGTACAGTTATATTATTTCATAAGGAGTAGCAAATAATAGAATGTGTAAATTTATGAAAATATGCTTGTATTACATTTTATCAAAATATGCTTATTTAAAATATTTTTAAATTCTCAGTATAAACATCAATTTTCAAGTTCTTGAAAACGGGAAATAGACTAACTTACATAGGTGTACAGTTCAAAAAAAATCACTGTTATGTATTTCCAATATAATGGCACCTTAATTCATAAAAAGGCTTTTGTCCAAATGAACGTAAAGAACGGCTCATTATGTTTGGTCTACTCTTAAGGTAATATCACCTGGCAGGAAAATAGAAGAATTTTTCATTTAGTGCTTGGTGCCTTGTATAAGGTCACCTTGAGATACAGAAGCAAAGAAAGCCCACTGTATTTGTCAGTTAAGAGAGACTTCAATGTTTTTGGCAAAATAGATTTGAAGTATTAAAATTCATTTTAACTTCAGAAAATTGCTTTTATAAGAAGAGTTTTTCTAATTTTAGAAGTGTCTCACCTCCGGATAGCTTTATTTTAATAGGTTTTTTTTAAAAACAAAAAAAAGAACATTGTAAAGTGATGGAAATGGTTGCAAATTACAATAGGAGTACAATTGCTAAGAATATGCATTATCTTTGTTAACTAATGCTTAAGATTTCATTGTATTTTTTGATTAAGAACATATTTTCAGCTTTAACAAAGATAGTAATTCTATAGGATGTTTTTCTATGCTTATTCTAAACCCTTTTTTGTAATTTATGTGTGGATGTGTGTGTATGTTTCCTTGAAAGAATAAGATTGAGATGTAATGAATATTTAAAAAATGATACTTCCACAAACTGCTTTTAATAAGGTAAGAGTACGAATAGCAGATACAGGAGGAATTATGTATACAAGTCTTTTATGTGTGTGTTGGATTATTACTGCCCACAGATTCAGGTTCAATGATGGCTGTTAGACTGAACAAGTTAAAGAAAAATAGAATCTCTTTTCTTTAGTCAAGGATAATTATATAAGGTATGACACTTTCTTTTTCCTTTGATATTTAAGATTAAAGTCAGCTACTGAGGACAAAACCATTCTCTCTCTCTCTTTTTTTTTTTTTTTTTTAGCTTTTTGCCATAAGGTGCATGCATTTACCAATGAGAAAGAGTGGCAGAGACCGAGAAAAGAAAAGTGAAAGTGAGAAATCACTACTCAGGGAGGATGGCCTTGCCTCAATCCCTTTTCCTCCATTCCCCTCTTGGGATTTTGGTTACCCATGGACATGCACATGCATGATTTTCAAACTGCCAGGTCTGGAACTCGAATTGCAGTCAGCTATGTGAGAGTCTAGTACCTTAACCACCTCATCATCTGTGGCCCTCAAGAACAATTCTAATGCCTTTCCAGTGTCATTATTTATGCAGTTATTTATTACTTATTTTTTATATGCAAAAATATGTCATGACGTTCCCAACAACCTAAGAGTTTAGTAGCAATTACTTCAGAGTTATATTGGGTTGTTTTTATGTGTTATTGCACAAATGCTTGAACATGGCAGAGTTTACAAAGCTTTGCACATACAGTTTATCACTTGACCTCCCAACAACTCTGAGAGGTAGATATCACAAGTTTCATTATCCATATTCAACAGAGGGAAATTCAAGCTCAGAATTACCCAAGGTCACTTAACTGTAAAAGGTAGACCTATAGTTTGAATCCAGGTGTTCTATTTGAAATACCAGGGTCTACAACTGAGCCATAGGTTTTCCTTTTGTAGAAAAGAAAAAAAAATATGTATGACTATGACTAGAAAGTACTTCTTTCTTAAATCTAACAGATTTCTCTATCCTCTTGATTCGGAAGATTTAATAGTGAATTGATCTTCATAATCTGTTTTCTCTTGTTTACTTTTAATCAGAATCTACATTATCACATCTCATGGTGCCTATTCTTCTCCTGATTGGTTGGATTGTGGGCTGCATTATAATGGTTTATGTTGTGTTCTCTTAGAAAGGTAAGACTTCTTAATAACTGGATATGCTTATTCATTGCCTAGATTACTCCTGATACAATCTTTCCTGTTTTACTAATAGAACATTTTTGTTATCCAGGCAAGAAGACTTCAGATTGACATCACTTAGAAGAATTTTTAAAAAAACATGAACATGACTACTTATTAAATGTTTCTCATGTTAACTGCAGTGTTTGACCTCACTTCATAAGCCTGGATTATAAACTAGCAGATCAATGACCATGAAAGTCTTTTTAGGAACTTGTTTAGAATTCTGGGTATAAATAAGAACTACCGTTATGTGTCATTTAGCAGCAGGGATATGTCCTAAGAAATGTGTCATGAGGCAGTTTGATTGTGCAAACATCAGGGAGTACTCACATAAACCTCAATGGTATAGCCAATAGACACCTAGACCACATTGTGTAGTCATTGTTCTAAAATGACAACCCCATAAAGCATGTTACTCTGCAGAAAACTGTAGACAATCATAACACAATGGTAGGTATCTGTGTATCTAAACACAGAAAAGACACACTAAAAAATATAATGGAAAAGATAAAAAGTGGCTTAGGGCACTGAGTTGCAGGACTGGAAGCTGCTCTGGGTAAGTGAATGAATTGTGAATGAAGGCTGGGATGACCACACCACAATTCCTTCTCCTCTTGGGATTTTGGGAACAGATGCACAAGTACCCAGGGTGCTTTTCATGTCACTGATTCCATGCAGTTGGCCATGTGGAATCCAATTGCCTTAACTACCACGCCACCAGTTGGTCCAACATTTTTACTTCCTAAACTTCCTTTTTAAAAAAAGAAACAGACAAACAAAACAAACTTTTTGACTCTCTTATAATAACACAGCATAAAACACATTGTCCAGCTATATAAAAATAGTTTCTTCATATCTGTGCTCTATAAACTTTCTTTTATTTTAGAATTTCTCGAATTAAAAAAAAATTTTATTTTATAAGCTTTTTTGTTAAGAACAAAGACACAAACCCTCCCATTAGCCTAGCCCACACAGGGTTAGGTTAGTCAGATATCACTGTCTTTCATCTACACATATCCCACTGGAAGGGCTATGATGAACAAAACACAAATTTAATCAAGCACAACAGAAGTGATACAATTAAGAGAGGTGGTGAACACAAGATGTGTGAAGCTGCTGCTAGTGTAACAGGGCATACGGTTTTACATTAAACTTTTAAAAAATTTTACGAGAAGGCGTAAACTCTACAATAATTAGGAAACGGATAATGTAGTAAATACATAAACCAGTGGCATAGTCATGTCTTATCATTATCAAATATTATGTACTGTATGTAATTGTTTGTGCTATATACTTTTATACCTAACTGGCAATGCTGTAGGTTGGTTTACACCAGCACCAGCATCACCATAAATACATGGGTAGGTAATGCACTACAATGTTACTATGGCTACAATGTCACTAGACTATAGGAATAATCTCAGGGGACCACCATTGCAGATGCAGTCCATTGTTGATCAAAACATTGTTATGTGGCATGGATGACTAAACGAGAATATAAGATCAAATTTCTCTATGTTGTAGAGTAGGAAAAATGTTTTAACTACGACTAAACAGGTATGAGCAATAAAGGAAAAAAAAATTGTGAATGGATTTACATTAGAAGAATTTTTACCCACACCCTGAAATGAATGATAGAAAAAATGAACTAGAGATAGGAATTCACTGAAAATAAAATGTAAATGGAAACTTGGTCCTTAATTTCCTGTTCACAGCAAAATAAATGTAATTCAAATTGGGCTAAAGAACTTACTCACCAGGGACCAGCAGTTAGTGTAATGGCTATGTCTCTGGACTCCCACGTAGTCAACCGCGGTTCACATCCTGGACCCGGTGGCTTAAAAAACTCATGCCGGGTGCATGTGCGTGCGTGCCCAAGATCCCGAGAGGAGACTGGAGGAGAAGGAATTGTGGCGTGGCCATCCCCCTGGGGGGTAATTTCTCGCTTTCTGTCTCTCTGTCTCTCTCTGTCTGTCTGGTGAGCGCACACGCCCTATAGCAAAAACCTCTCCAAAAAAAGAGAACTTGCTCACCTATCAGATGGGAAAAAATGAATATGTTTGACAATACTTGTGTTGGTCAGGCTGTGGAGAGATAAGCATTCTCATATACTGTCTTCAGGGACTCAGAATGGTCTTGGGGTCCCAGACTCTCTGTCACAACCAGTAGTGTGTTAGACTGTGGAACTGGAAGCAACACACCAACCTTGGTTCAAATCCCTGGCTCAGTCAGCCTGAAACACACGAGGCATGTGCTCAGAATTCCAGCAAGTCGGAGGACTGAAGTCAGGGGTCCATGGTGTGACTGGGGCCTGATGGGGTGCTTCTCTCTGTCTCCCTCTCCCTCTCTCTCTCCTGGATGTGCCCTCTATCATGGAAAAATGAAAAAGATTTTTGCCAATCAATATCTACCAAAATTACATATGTACATTATTTTTAAAACTTGTGACCCAACTGCTCTGCTTTTTAAAGAGAATATGGCCATTTCCATAGATACGTTAGAAACAATATGAAATGGTATATATACATGGCCACTCGTTCTGACAGTTTGTAATAAAGAAATTCTGGTTATAAGCCAAATGTCTACTAATAAAGGACTGATTGAACAAAATCTAGTACTTACACTGCTGTAAAAGGAGTGAAAGGGTCTCCCTGTACTGATATGATGGGATCTCCAGGATAAAATGTGAATAAGTCAACATGGAACAATATATGCTACCCTTCATGTAAGAAAATGAGGGCCAAACCAATAGGTCTACTCTTAGCCTATATTAAAATATTGAGGAACCAGCAGATGAAGTAATAGTTACATCACTGGACTCCCACGTAGTTGACCTTACTTCGAGTCCCGAATCCAGCAGCTTAAATCTCACACTGTGTGTGTGTGTGTGTTTATTACGAGTCCTGAATCCAGCAGCTAAAATCTCACACTGGGTGCGTGTGTGTGTGTGTGTGTGCCCAAAATTCCAAGAGGAGATTGGATGAGAAGGGATTGTGGCATGCCCTTCCTCTCTGGGGGGAGGGGGTCTCATTTTTTTGTCTTTCTCTTTATCTTTGGTGAGCTCATGTGCTCTATAGCAAAAATCTCTCTCTCAAAAAAAAATATATTGAAAGTGAAGAGACACAAATGGAGGTTAAATATCTCTGAATGAGTCTTCTTTTATAGTTTTCAGTTTTGGAATTATGTAACTACTTCATAAATTAAAAATAAGAAAGTAATCTCAAATTTGAAGCAAACTTAAGTAAGTCTACTAACGTATTAAGTTGGTGACATAAACGCAAAGAGAAAAGCGTCTTTTAAGTGACTTTACTTATTCTTTTTTTCTTTTTTTTGGAGAGGTTTTTGCTATAGGCACGTGTGCTCACCAGACAGACAGAGAGAGACAGAGAGATAGAAAGCGAGAAATCACTCCCCAGGGGGGATGGCCATGCTGTAATCCCTTCTCCTCCATTCTCCTCTCGGGATCTTGGGCATGCACGCATACGCGCCCGGTGTCAGTTTAAGCCACTGGGTCCGGGACTCGAACTTGAACTACATGGGAGTCCAGCAACATAGCCATTACGCTAACTGCTGGTCCCTTTAAGTGACTTTGAAATACAGTATTTTGTTTTTCACTGTAAATCTCTTATGGAATACACATATTAACCACATTCAGTAGTCTTTTTATTAGTAAAACATCAATATTGATTTGAAATATATCATCATATCGTTAGTACAAAAGTCAAGTAATACCTAACAATATTAAATTTGAATTGCAAATATCAGAATAAACTCACTATTTTTATTCTTTTTCTAAAAAAAAAGGATACACTTTATTTTAACTCTGCCCACTGAAAAAGTATCACAGGAATGAACATCTTTACACCTTTATTTATTTTTTTAAAAGAATGATTTATTTAATTATTATTATTATTATTTTTAATTTGACCAGAGAGAGGGAGGGAGAGAGAGAGAGAGAGGGTCAATGAGAAAGCAAGCCGCCAGGTCTGGGACTTGAACCATGGTTAGCCATATAAGAGTCCACCACCTTAACCATCATATCACCTGCTTACCCCTACACCTTCATTTCTTTCTTTTTTTTGGGAGAGGTTTTTGCTATAGGCACGTGTGCTCACCAGACAGACAGAGAGAGTCAGAGAGACAGAAAGCAAGAAATCACCCCCCAGGGGGGATGGCCATGCTACAATCCCTTCTCCTCCATTCTCCTCTCAGGATCTTGGGCACACACACACACGCGCCCGGCGTGAGTTTAAGCCACTGGGTCTGGGACTCCAATCGCGGTCGACTACGTGGGAGTCCAACGACATAGCCATTACGCTAACTGCTGGTCCCTACACCTTCATTTCTAAGCACCACTTTCCCCTCAAAGAAGGCAGGGATTTTTGCCCTAGTTTAGGGCAGAAAATGTACAATATAATTTGCAACTTTATCTGGTATATAGATCTGTCTGATGAGATTGGCAATCTATCATTTGACCTCACTAAAAGTGTCACAACTTAGACCTTGTGTGCCTCCTGATAACATACAGAAGGAAATGCACAGCTAGATACGAAGTATCCTTACCCAAACGTGTGAACCTAAAGCAAAACAAGAGAACAAGTGTTTGGAGTAATCTATCAAGCTGCTCTACACAAAATCATGAGGTTACGTTCAGCCAAGTCCAGAGTGTGGAACCTTAGAAAGGGAACACATCTGACTTTTCCAACATTGAGCAGTAAGAAGTGGCATGGGAAAAGAGAAACCATCACAGAGTAAAAGACTAAGAGGACAGCATGCAAATGTAAGATACAGGCCAGCTACGAAAGACACATTTTTGTATTTCTGTATTAAAGATGTTAAGGAATTGTTATGCATGCTGTGCTCAACAATAATGGCAATTGGCAGTGGAAAAGAAAAAGCTATCTCTTAGAGACACATGCTGAAGTACTTACTCATGGGATGATAGGATGTCTAGAAGTCGTCTTAAAATATCCCCATAAAAAAGGCAAACTAAAAAATAAAGTCGGGTAACTGAAATAAAACAGGCAAAATGTTGATATTTATTTAGGCTGAGTCATGATTTCTTAAGGATCTATCATACTTTTTGCTCTACTTTTGGGCACATGTGAACATTTTTGTAAGAAGTT